CCTGCACTTATGGCAAACCGTTTAAAATTCTTAATACATAAAAAATTTTAATACATGCATTTACTTGAGAGATAGATAGATAGGTAAGTAGGTAGATAGATTGTGTGTGTGTGTGTGCGCGCGCGCGTGCGCGTGTGCGCACGCACACGCGCGTGCATGTGCCCTATTCTAATATGTGAAGGTCAGAGGACAGCTTGCAGGAGTTGGCTCTTGTCTTTTCACTATGTGTGTCCAGGAATCAAATTCAGGCCATCAAGCTGGCAATAAGTGCTGTCGCCTGCGAGGTCAGCGCTTTATAGTCCCTGAAGTTAAACCATAGGATCAAACAGGAAGAACAGCTTTTGGCTCTTTCATGTAAACTGTCACACTATCTTTAAATCTTTATGTGAGTCTGGTTGACTTGCAAGCCCTCCCTCCTTATCTGTGTGTTTGTGTGAGTTTGAGGCAGGGTCGCACTTTAGCCCAGGCTGGACTACAACTCCCTGTATACCCCAGGAAGGCCTTGAACTCCCGGCACCCTTCCTGACTCAGCCTCATAGGTGTTGGGATTGTAAGTGTTGTCACCAGTCTAGCTTCCCTTTGCGGCCGTGGTCTTAAATTGTCTCCTTGGAACCTTGTGCTGAGGGACCCTCCCAGTGGCCCTGGTCAGGGGTACTTGGTGCCATCTGGGCTCTTCTGGCTCCTAGCCACCCAGGCTGAGATGGAACTATGGCCTCAGACATGTTTGGGTGACTTTTGGACGCAGGTTCACCAGCGGCACTGGCTTCTGGGGTGGAGGAATTCCTCTTTGGGGGCTGTGATGAGATGCCACCAGGTCATGATCATGTTAGGAGTCTGCCTCTGAGAGGCCTTCTCCTCCCCAGCACAAACACACTATGTGGTGGCAGCCTCGGGACATAGCACCTTTCCTGATCAGGGTGACCACCATGTGTGAGTTCTTGTGCAGTTCTGGGCATGGAACCCAGGTCCCTGGGCATCCTAGGCAAGCACTCTGCCACTGAGCCACATGCCAGTCTCTGCTTTTTTTTTTTCTAGACTACGTTCCGTTTCCTAGGCATTTCCTTTCCCGGTGCTGCAGTGTTACCCTCGGATCCGTATGTAATAAGTCTCCTTGTCACTTGCCTGTGAGCTCTTCTACTCTCAGGGTCTTCAGGTGTCTCCATCAGCTGGTCTTGGCTATGCTTAGAGGGCCCCCTCACTTCTCAGAGTCTATTTCCTATGGGATGGAGACATCCCCTGCTTTGCAGGGTGTGGCATTGGTGATCACTATTCCCACCCAAAACCAGCTCTTACTTTTTACTAAGATAGCAACAGAGAGCCCACGCATTTACTTCTCCCTCCTGAACAACAGTTCACAGAGACGGAGGGAGGACAAGAACAGCCTGGGAGGACATGAACACAGCAGGGACTTTTGAGTATTTCTGAAATGCCAGAATGGGTTGGACCACATTTATGAGTAAATGGGAAGCAGGGGGGGAGGGTCACAACTCAGAAGGGAGCAGAGGAAGAGCCTATGGAGGTTTTTTTGGGGAGGGGACCAGGTAAGGGTCAGGTGGGGGAGCAGAGGAGGAAGGAGAGGCAGAAACTAGAAGGATAATGGATGGGTCGTGCTGTAGACCTGCCATGTGGGTAGCACACATGAAGAAAATGGCCATCTGCAAATAAGGAGGTTAGGCCTTCACCAGACACTGTCCGCACTTTGGGCTCAGTTTCTGCAGGCTTATTTATTTATTTTTGCAATCTTTCTATTGATTCTGAAAACGTTTAGTCCCACTACCCATTCTTTTTGTCTCTTTACAGACAGACGCTAATCTATCCTGAGGGCTCCACCATCATCATCTCTTGAACTCCTGAAGTCCCTGTCCCTAAGTTCTATAGCACTAGAGACTTGGGACTTACTGTTTTCATTTTGGGTCCCACAGACATTCCTTCCACAGCGTGCAAATATGCACATATCTACAAACAATGCAAATGTATGTGACTAATGTGACCTGCCTAGCATTACAAATATCCCTGTGCAACTTCTGCAGTTATCATACACTCATAGACATTCCAAGAACCCAAAGATAAGCAGGGAAATTGGAAAATGATAGTGTGTCATGTGACAATTGTCCTCCTTGCCTTTGCTTCTCTATCGCTCTGATAAGACACTATGACCAAGGCAACGTCTAGAAGACAGAGTTCATTTGGGTCTTGCATTTCCCTCCATGACCATCATGGCAGGCAGGCAGGCACTGGAGCAGTAGCCGAGCCCTCACATCGTGGGGGCACAACCATCAGTCAGAGAAAGAGACACCAAGTCTGCCCTCAGTTACCTCCTCCAACAAGGTCACATCTCCTAATGCTCCCTCAAACCGTTCCACAAACTGAGGACCAAGTATTCACCTACGTGAGCCTACAGAGGCCATACCCGTAATCAATAACAGACTTGCTTGTGAGAAATGGAAACTGATGCGTTAGTTGATTTTCTTCCTCATTTCTACCACTCACACCCTCCCTGCACTTTGAAAATTGTGTCTGTCTCTCACACTGGTATCTGAACAACCCATGAACCACAGTGACACTCAAAGACCACGTTTTTCTTTTGCAAACACAGGCCAATAGATAGAGGAGTGTTTTCCTGGGGCCTGGACAGCATTAGGCAAAGGAGGGGATGTTAGCGCTGTTTGATCACAATCGCCAAACAAATACCAGCCCCAGACTGATGGAGGCTGCCCTGCATTCCATAATAAATTTGAGGTTTGTGGGTTGTGATGTGGGGGCCATGCAGGGACCCCTCATGTGGCATTGCCCTCTGTCTTTTCTCTGAGCCATCTGTAAAGCATAGGCAAGCATTAACCCGAGTCATGCAGACCACACTGGGTCCCTGTCCTGCCCCTCACAAGTCCTGTGATGCTGGAGCCAGCCACGGAGTGCCCTAAGCTTCAGTTTCCTCATCTGGAAAGTGGTTGTCTCGACAGGATTCTTCTTTAGCGCTGCGCCTCAGTTAGGGTTTCTATTTCTGTGAAGAGACACCATGGCCACAGCAACTCTTATAAAGGAAAACGTTTAATTGAGGTGGCAGTTTACAATTCAGAGGTTTAGTCCATTATCATCATGGCAGGAGCATGGCGGCATGCAGACAGACATGGTGCTGAGAAGCAGCTGAGAGTCCTACATTTTGCAGGCAGCAGAAAGTTGACTGAAACACTGGGCCGTATGCTGAGCATAGGAAACCTCAAAGCCCACCCCCACAGTGACACATTTTCTTTAAGAAGTCCATATCTACTAATAGAGCTATTATTGTCAAAATGAAAATCTGAGGACTGATTCTCCCTTTCAAAGGTATGTTAGAAATAAAAGAGATATGCCGGGAGTTGGTGGCACATGCCTTTAATCCCAGCTCTCTGAGTTCGGGGCCAGCCTGGTCTACAGAGAAAGTTCCAGGACAGCCTCCAAAACAATGCAGAGAAACCCTGTCTCCAAAAACCAGAAAACAAAAGAAGAAAAAAAATGAAATAAAAGAGATAGCCAGGCAGTGGTGGCACATGCCTTTTTAATCCCAGTGGACCTCAGTGAGTTCGAGGCCAGCCTGGTCTAAAGAGTGAGTTCCAGGCCAGCCAGGACTGTTACACAGAGAAACCCTGTCTTGAAAAACCAATAAAAACAACAACAATGAGACAGAAATAAAAAAGACAAAAATGGCTACCCTGGCCGCCTTTGGACAAGGTGAGAAAGCATTGGCTGCAGGAAGAGCAGTCAGCCTACTTGCCAGAGATGCCTGCTTTGCACCCTGTCCTTGACAGACACTGTGGAGTTCTGTTGTTGCACAGTGACTGACTAGTCATGGGCTTTCTAGGAGATCGACAAGCAGAAGTCAAAAGTAGTCTCGTCCAAGGACTGTAAGCCCGGTTTACGGGGGACCTGCTATGTCGTGGCTGTTCTGCAACAGTTTCTCTGTGCTGCCCCGAGGGGACTTTACAGAGGAGGAGATTGAGCCTGGAGAAGGTGAATGACTTGATTAAGTCCTTGTGGACAGAAACGGCTCTCTGGTGCCAAAGGCCACACCTCTTCCATTGTTTGCAGATGCTGATACGAAACTTGCTCTTGGGTGGAGCCTGAAAGCCTTCCCAGGAGACTCCTGGTGATTTCTAAACAGCCAGGTTCACTGAAGGATTAGGACTGTGCTCAGCTCCAGTTAATTTGAAGTTCATCCTGCTCCTCCTTGCTGGGACGCTTGGGTTCCATTCTCGCCACTCTGTGCCCAGTGACTGGAAAAGAAGGCCCTAGCTTTGGCTCTCAGTGGCATGAATGCAAGGCCTCTCAGGGACTAGGCTGCCTGGTACTTGCTGAGGGCTGCAGTGTGAATGGCAGCCGTGGAGGACATTGTTTTCCTCTGCACCAGTGTCTCCTTGCCGGTGTATGTGCCTGTCACCCTAACCTGGTGTTGGCCCAAATAATTAAACTACTACTGTGTGTTGGAGCTGGGAGTGGTTTTTAGAAGCACACAGGCTCTGTTCATGGCTGATTCAGACCTCAGGACCAGTAGCCTTTTGTCAGTGAGTTCACCTGAGTCAAGATTAGGCCGGAACAGTTACACTAAGACCGGCTTGCACCGAGGCAGACCCTTCACTCAAATGGTTTCATTGGGTGGGGATCCCAGCAAGCAGTGGCTGAGGGCGGGACATGGGGCAAGGAGGAGAGCCTAAATGTTAGTGAGTGTGTTAGCTGTTGGAGCTCAGGGCCACTGCAGACTTCTGGAAGACAGTGTAGAAAAGCTGGCTATTCACTTATCGGCTTCGGGTCCTGCTTGGCGTTGGTAGGAACTGCTCCCAGGGTCATGAACTCTCCTGTACTCACGTGAGGTGGGAGAAAGACTCAGGTGCGGCGGCAGCACCTTGAAGCGAGCAGCAATGAGCAGCCACCTGCTCTGGTAGGCAGCTGAGGGTCTGCAATAGAGCCGGCCCTTCATGGTTCTTCTGCATTAGGGTGAGGGTTACACAATGCTCTGAGCCACTGGATAGCCACAAAAACTTTATTCCTCCAGGACCTTTACATGAACATCACCAGCACCGCATTTGGGCATACGTATATAAAAGGCACAACTTATCATACAAATCCAATCCTTTGACACAGGCACTGTGCAGTCACTTCTCAGGATCTCTCCCCGCGCCGTGGGTGGGCTTCAGGGGCAGCAGCTGCACTTGTCTGAGCCCCCTTTGCAGATGCAGCCCCGGGCACACTTGGCACAGCCTGGGGGGCAGCAGGGACAACAGCCTGGAAAGGTTAGGAGATGGACAGATGAGTCATAGCCCCTCACTTCCCACTGCCTCTCCCATGCCTTAGGAGAAGTAGGAAATGAAGCATCTATAGCAGAAAACCCTGAACTGGGAGGCTGTGTGATCTGAGAGCCAGAAGGGACCTCCTCACAGGTCCTCTAGAGTCCACCAGAGCCTTTTCAAAGGTCGCAGCCATGGTAGAAATACGATTGGAAGTCAGGGCTCATGACCCCAGGTGAAGGCTTTTTCCTCTCCCTGTTCCAAACACCACGGATGCCCTTAGTGCTGGGTGTGCTGCAGCCCAGGGAAGTGCTGCCCCCGGGGTATCTCCTTGGGTATCATCTCACATCCCTCCCGATGAGAAAACGGTCCCCAGAATCCCTCCACTGCCCACGTGGGATGGATGTGGACGGTGAAGGGTGGGGCTATTTTCGCCCCCACCTGGCAGTGCCTCGGTGCCCATACTCACTTTTGCGACAGGTTTTACACTTGCAGGTTGTACATTTGCAGTTGTCTCCGCAGATGCAGACCCCTCCTAGGAGAGAGGGCAGAGGGTGGTGAACATGAGGCTTTCGACCTTGGGGAGTGGTGGGACAAGAGGGTGATGCTGCTTCTAAGCTGTGGATGGTCCAGTAGTTCCAGCGACAGGCCATGGCCGGGCACTGGGGTGGCAGCATCAGCTCAGCCTGGGTTACTTGTGGAAGTGCACATTCCTGGTCACAACCCTTGAAACAGGTTCATGGATAACTCTTTGTAGGGACAGGATCAGTAGTTTAAAAATACAACACATCTGGTACTGATGTCCAACCAGGCTGGAGAACTAACAGGCAAGGCCAACCCCAGCAAGGCCAAGGTTCCTGAAACAACCATCAAGGTCTTTCATAGCCTCTTCCTGACAAGACCAGTCAGAAACCCTGAATAGAAAGCAGAAAGGGGCACAGAGACGGGGTGGGGGTGGATGGGTGGGGATGGGGGGTGGGGGGGCCAATACCTTGCTTTGATTTCATAAAAGCTACTCATGCTTAATTGTCTTTCTAAACTCATCCTGTCCATCATTTTCAGTTTCAGAACACTAGAAATTTTCTTCACCTTTTCCAGGTTTTGGGGACAGACCTGTACTGTTAAGGACGAAGGATGCTTTTGAAATTTTTAGATGCCATTTTTTCAAGATTGAGAAAGCATAGGACAGTTTTGACCCCTGACCTGCCTACTTCTGGTCAACATATTTCCTGGCCTCAAACAATCCAGATTGGCTTTGAATTCGGGATCCCCCTGCCTCTGCTCTCTGAGTGCTAGAATCACAGGTGAGTTTCATCACAACTGGCTTTTACTGCCTCCAGGTCCCAACCAAACCTTTAACCCCTGATGTATGAAAGTGCTTGCGAATTTTAGCCTCTCCATAGATTCCCTAGTCTGCAAGCAAACTAGAATGAGTAACCTCAATGTGAAAATGAGGAAACTGAGGCCCATAAATCAACTGTGTCAGTGAATGAATGGCAGCAGAGGACCAAAACCAAGTGTCCGGGTTCTGGACCATAGCTCCATCCCCTACTCTGGTGGCTGCCACTAGGGACCTGCCACTAGAAGGACTAAGTTTTTCAGATCCCTTCCTTTGCTATTCCCTGAAATAGTGTATCAGTTTCAGCAAATCTGGCTGGGAGCCAACAGAGTGGGAGCCACCCCAAAGGTTGCAAAACCTCATCCATTGTGCCTAAGTGAAGAAGGAGTTTCCAACAGTCCTACATGCTGCCGGCAGAATACAGGGGTGAAGTTGTAAGACCCCAAGTGAGCCTCCTTACTCACCAGACATACAGGTGCACTCTCCAGGGTCCATGGTCCAGGTGTGTGAGTGGCTGAGGAAGGGTGGCTGAGGTAGCAGCGGCTGGAGGTTCCCTCTTTATAGTTGCGTGGGTGTGGACTACCGCTCACCCCACCTCTCCCTGGGGCCAGACGCCCTGCACACGGCCCAGTGAGATGCTCAGGGCTAGGAGGTGGGCAAGGGAGGTAGCAGAGGGCATAGGGCAGATAGAGCCCTTTTACAAAGGGCCAGACCTGCCCTACCTGCTTACCTGCCAAAGTGTCGAGGAAGCAGCGTGAGGTTCCAGAGGCACTCAGTGCCTAGGTTGTTAGCTACACACAGCCAACTAACTACACAGAGTGAGCTGCCACTTCTGTTCCCTCCTCCATGGGGCTACTCCTGCCCAGGCTCAGACCTTCATTCTCTCCTATGGCTGGACCTTAAAGCTCTTAGCATAGATGAGAAGGTGGAAAATCAGGGACATGTGCCCATCTAGACTTGGGACCTTTCCTTCTAGACCACACATGGAGGGGAAGAAACAAGAGAAGACCTGGTGGGGACACTTAACCAGCCCCAACTTCCATCCCAACGTCAGTCTTTGATAAGACAGCCACCTACCTTTCAGTGGGATGCAAAACTTCACGCAGATGATAGGGTGCCCCGTAGCTGCAGTGATCTCTCTCTCTCTCTCTCTCTCTCTCTCTCTCTCTCTCTCTCTCTCTCTCTCTCTCTCTCTCTCTCTCTCCCTCCCTCCCTCCCTCCCTCCCTCCCTCCTTCCCTCCCTCCCTCTCTCCCTTTGCGTGTGTGTTCATGTGTGTCCCTTGGTAAGATGTGTGCACACATCTCAAGTCTCTCTGCTATATGATTATTCATGTGCTAAGGCATCTCTGTACCTGCTCAGTGTCTTGTACAAGGGTTTATGGATGCTGAATGCATGAAGGAATGAATAGATGGATAAGTCAGAAGAAACAACAAACGACTAGAGACATGAACTGTCAAGTGAACAGATGAGTGATGGAATAATGCTGGAGTGTCCTTCGTGTGTCTATACTGATGACCTCGGATGAAAAGTGGTTCTACCATTCAGTAAAGTATGCACCCTGGCTCCAGCTTCCTCCAGGTCTCAGCTTGTCCCCATCAGTCAGGTCCCAAGCTGACCCAGGATGCTTGAGGTGAGAGTATCTAATGGGGAGAAAGGGGCTTTGACCTCACGGGCATCAGAAGGGCTCCACGGCAGGCACCTAGGAAGAAGTAGAGATAAGGATGTGGTGGTCTCTGAAGGCATCCATAGTTTAGTACCAGAATCTCCTTCCTTATTTGTTCTCACAGAGCCTGCACCGTTCCGGGTGCCGGGGGTCCAGTGCTGATTAAAGCAGAACCCACGGCTGAGAGTGTCAGGAGAGAAGCAGCTCAGGAACTGCATGCATGTGTGTGGCTGCTCCGTGTTCCTGGGCCTGCGCTGGGGAGCTCACCGCAGTCCATCTGTGACACAGTGTTCCCCACCTCTCGCAGGTATCAGTTCTGCCCGTGGAACAAGCCCAGAAAAGGGAAGGCATGTTCCTCTACTTATCTAAGCCGTCTCTCTCAGCTCTCCGCTACCTGTGCCAGCAACTGTTTCCTCTCTGGATGAATGACAGTGTGATGTTGCTCAAGACCAATTGAATGACAATGTTAAAACACAATCCCTTAATACTTCACCATTTCCCAATTTCTGGGCTGTGCAGGTTGAAACAATACGCAATACTTGCTGGTCTAGTCCAGGCTAAACGGTATCTAAGCTGGTCCAGGACCTGAGAAAGAGCTTATCAGGCTTGTTCAATCTCTGCCTGTTCTCTGGCTCTCAGCTCCCAGTGCGGGGTAGTGGTAGAAACAAATCCACCTGGAGCACATGAAATGACTAGAAGCATAGCTTCAACCTCCTCACAGAATAACTTGTCAGACTGGCAAGATGGCACTTGCTGCCAGGCCTGATGATTCCAGTTTCAGCCTTGGACCTCCATTGAAATAGATAGCTAACTCCTGTGGACCTCCACATCTGGGCCATGCTACACATCTTAACACACACACACACACACACACACACACACACACACACACACACCACACACACGAATAAATTTTTTAAATTTAAAGAAATAAACACTTTTGGGAGAAGTGAAACTTTAAGCTTGTGGGATTGAAATCTGAAGATTAAGTTCTAGACCTTCTTACAGGGATGGGAAGCACATGTAAATATACAATAGTTTCCCCACAGGAGTCTGGAATGGCCTGGCTGGTCTCAAACTCTACCCTCCTACCTCAATATGCCAGGCTTACAGATGTGCGCAGCTATGCCCAAAAGCTCTTTTTTTTTTTTTTACATAGCAGTTTGACTCCTTTGAGCCACCAAGTCCTAAATGTCTCCATCCCCAGAAATGACTGCTACTTCGTTCAGTAGTACATTCACATACTTTTCTCCCGACAATGAAAAAGAATGTTTGAAAGGAGTGTCTGGTGCCACCTCTTACACAGCATAAAGTGGCTGGGTTTTCACTTCCCTCCCCATGCAGGTAAGAGTAAACCATATGCTGTCAGGACCTAGGCAGGGGTTCCATCATGCCAACGTAGCAGAGGAAGGCTTAGTGCCTTCACATTAGCCCATCCCGATGTTAGCTCTTCCTGGTTTCTCTATGCAAGCCCTGCTTATCCCTTCCCTTTTACGTTCCTTCCTTCTTCTTCTTTTTTTTTTTTTTTTTTTTTTTTGGTTTTTACAAGACAGGGTTTCTCTGTATTGTTTTGGAGGCTGTCGGTCCAGCCTGGCCTCGAACTCACAGAGATCCGCCTGCCTCTGCCTCCCGAGTGCTGGGATTAAAGGCGTGCGCCACCACCGCCAGGCTCCTTCCTTCTTCTTTCCATTTAATTTTTAAATTTCCGAGATGGTAAGTAATAAAGTTACAATATTTCTCCCTTCCATTTTCTCCCTCCAAACCCTCACATACCTGCTCCACTTGCCTTTAAATTCATGGCCTCTTTTTTCACTAGTTATTGCATATATATATGCATATATGTATGTATGTGTCTTCATGTGTATTCCTAAATATGGCCTGTTCAGTCTGTATAATATTACTTGCATGTTTTCAGGGCTGAGCATTTGGCCCTGGACCTTCAACTGGTCTACCCTTCCCCGAGAAAGACCACCTCTTCTGCCCCCAGCTTTCCTCAGCCACCTATAGTTCTCTGTGTAAGTTGAGACCTCGTGGGCTTTTACCCATCTAGTTTGGCATGTCTATTGTTGGCATCATTGTTCATCTCATGTTGATGAGGCTTAATGGGTATAGCTTCTAATGTTACTTGCAGACACCGTCTCTCACCACACTCTCTGATCCCCTGGCTCTTACAATCTTTATGTGTCCTCTTCCACAATGTTCCCTGAGTCTGGGGTTCTGGGGTGTTTTGTAGATGTATCCATTGGGACTTGACTTTACAACTCTACATTTTGATTGGTTGTAGTTTTCTGTAGTGGTCTCCGTCTGTTACAAAGAGGCATTTCCTTGATGAGGGGTGAAGACCAGACTTATCTGTGAGCACAAGGACAATTTATAGAGTGTTGTTAGGTAGTGTGCTGGTGTAATGAATTGGTGATTGTAGGTGGTTTCCCTCTTATTGAGCAGTTCTTAAGTCCAATTAGAGCTGTTGGTTACCACCAAGGTATGCCTGCCACTACTGCACCAGTAGGAGTATCACGCCCTGCTGGTCATTGGTGTGGTTCATAGGTGTCATCGGATAGAGCTGTTGGTTACCACCAAGGAATGCCTGCCACTACTGCACCAGTAGGAGTATCACGCCCTGCTGGTCATTGGTGTGGGTCATAGGTGTCATAGGATAGAGCTGTTGGTTGCCTCCTTCCTTTGGAAGTTTGCATTGTGCCTTCTGATAGTCTCCAGGGAGGGAACATTCAGGTCTGTTTCAGTTCAGGGTCTCTGTGTTCTGTTTCTAAGGTGCATGATGTCTTCAGCAATAGGGATTTTACCTTCTTCTTCTTGGGGGTAAGCAAGGGCAACAGCAATTAGCTGGATGTTTTGGGACTTTTTTGGACAACAACTCAAAAGAGGGCTTCTCATATCTGGTATTGAGGCTTTTCTTTAGGTGGTGTTTGGTTCGTAGAGGGAGCATTGTCAGCCCAGATGAGAAAAGTTCATTAGAACTATGTATGCATGTTTTATACACAGAATTATGTGTACTTTAGGTTCTTTAAGGTAAATGATAGCATGATTCCTCGACATGCCTATTGTTATCTTACCTACTCCTTCCTCCTTCTGTATTTGTCTCTGTCCCCCTTCCCTAAAGAACCCCTTTCCCCATCAGATCATTTGTTATTCCCTTTTACCTCCTCCCACTTTCTGTATTTACGTCCCCCCTCCAATTTCTTCTAACAGATCACTTGTATCCTACTATCTGACTCTGTTGATCCCAACCCCCTGTCCTGGCAATGGTCCCATTTTATTTTCCTGGTGTCTGTAGTTTCTGCATTCATTTGTGTGTATGAGTGTGTCCCGACCCGCAGGACATTCAACGTGGGTCTGGTGGACACCTAGGAGAAAGATGGAGGACAGGGGATACAGGAATGGACGCCAAGACAGGATTCTGATCAAGGTGACAACTTTATTTCATCACAAGGGGATTTATATAGGAGAACTGAGGAGGGAAAGGCGGAGGATGTGCTTGCAGCTGCAGGGGCAAGAGGTCAGTGGGAGAGGTGGTCTGCTGCGTTGCCTGGCTACCTAATCTACAGGGCAAGAGGTCAGGGGTAAGAATTCCTATGTTGCTTGTTAACCTGACAGCAGGGTCCGATCCTATCTATTACTGCTCAGGCCTATCTTCTGAGGACCTTGTAGTTTTTCCAATTAAGCTAATCTTTAACTGACTGGTAAACCCCAGGCTTGTTACTTGGAATATGCTTTATGTCAGAAGGGGCGGCAGGGTGGTCTTAGTGTCACGTCTTCTCTATGAGTACGTGATACAGCCTAGCTGACTGATGGCTGGAGGTCCCTGACATGAGTGCATGTACATACGTGGAGATTAGAGAGCAACTGGGAGTTGGCTCTCTCCTGTCCTGTGGACCCTGGGGATTGAACTCAGATCATCAGGCTTGGCTGCATCTGCAATTTCTTTACCC